CATTGTTTTCAGACTTTACTACATTAATGAAATATTAATTATAAGTCAAAATTACAAAATGAAATTTTTTGATTTTCATAAAAATTAAATTGTATGGAAGTGGATTGAAAACGACTTAATTTACATGATGCCCACAAATTTCTAAATAAATGGAGTTATTGAAAGACTGGCTCTGCTTCATTCCCAACCCCCTTGCTTGCGGTAGGGGCGAGAGGTCCAAGTGAAGTTGAATCTTTCTTCTTAGTTACAAATTCTTTATTAGTTAGGACTCTAGAAGCTATGCTTGAATTGACGTTGTCCTACTTTATGCATTCCTTAAATTAAACCCAATAAAGTAAAGTTTAATCCGTAAACCATCACCAGTTTTCACAGATGTGATAAATTTTTAAAATAGCGTCTCAACGGTTACCATCAACAGTTTTTCACAGGTGTATTTGAGTGACTGTTAATGAAAAAAATATTTGTTTCGATTCATTATGATTCATAAAGATGGCTTATATTTTTTTGACTTTTCTCTGAGCAACACTTATTAATATTATTGCTCATTAAGCTAGCCATTTCCCCATGTCTATACTTCGTTATTCAAATATAAATAGTGCTTATCCTTACATCAGTTTAAATACAATATATTTAGCAAAAATTCAACTAGGTAAATTGCAGTAAAAGAAGCGAAATACTTCAAACAATTTTTGCAAAAACAGGGGTGTGTGATAGACTTACCTCCACGTGGTGCTCCCTGGGCAAAATATACTCATACGGCAAAAAAGTCTATTATCCGGTAGTTGACTTCCAACTTTAAACTACCATGACCTCACTCCATGTCATATTCGACCCCTTCCACAGTACTCATCTAGCCGTTTCTCTGCCTTTGTGTCTGTCTGTCTTTCACATCTTTGAATCGCTCTTTTTTCCCCTGTCGCTTTTTTTCACTTTAATGTTCCGAAGTCAACAAAAGAGCTAATGCCTGCCATTTGAAATAAATAAATGAATTTTTGAAAAACATACGCAAAGTGGCAAAACTGCAATTAAATTGCTATCTATAACCGATTATTAAGAACAATTTGGTTATACTGGAGTCCATGTTTCAGTTAAATTACTTAATATATTTCTTATTTGAGTTCATATAAACATAAATCCTTTTAAATACAGATGAAAACGCAATCTGATCAAATACAAAATGCCTTAGAGGTAAAGAAAGCATTATAAATCGATGCCAAACCAAAAAAGCCTTCCTCTGCCCATGTGTTGGTTAGCAGAGACTGATGTAGTCTGATGCACCCAACTGCTTGACTACTTTAGGAAATCGAACACCCCTCCAGAAAAAATGCGCTCACGGGCCCTTGAGACCATCAATGTCAACTATCCTGCAGATCAATGGCTCCAAGTCTTCATTGATGGGTCTTATATAGAAACCAAGCAAACTTTGGTGCAGGTGTCTATTCTGAACTCTTCTCTTTCTAGGCAGCAGCGGGACATAATAGATCCGCTTTTGAAGGAGAAATAGAGGCTATTAGGATAGCACTATGCCAATTATGTTGCCTGGATAAGAAATTCACCAAAGCGGTGATACTTTCGGACTCAGAGTCAGCAATTAACTCAATTGGAAGCAGAGAGCCACGCAAAACAGATGAGATAAAGGAATGTAGAAAAACAAACCAGTGGTCCTACAATGGATACCTTGTCACTGTGGCATTAAAGGCAATGCGCTTGCTGACCCACTTGCTAAAAAGAGGAAAACAATTTTGCAATGCATGTACCAACCAATGTCTTTCCACACAATGTAGGCCTTAATTAGGAGAGAATTCATGACTTCAAGGTGCAACGAACTTAAAACTCAAACAAAAGAGAAACAGAGGACAGTGGCACTACCGAACATTGCCGACTGGCCAAGAATCGAAACCGTTGCTGAGTTTTGACTACGTATCGGACACGGTTGCCTCTCAAAAGACCTTCACATATTGGGTGTATACACTCAACCCACATGCAATGAGGCAGATCATATTGTGTTATAAGTAACGAAATGTGCTGAAAGTTAAGTTGTGAAATAGAAAGAGAATTGATTGCCCAACAAATTGTATCAACTATTCGCCATAGCATAGCTAAGTAACAAAATGTGTGGGNAGACCTTAAGGAGCAATGAACTCAAAGCTCGAACAAAGGAGAAACAGTGGACAGTGGCACTCTCCGATATAGCCGACTGGCCAAGAATCGAAGCCGTTGCTGAGTTTAGACTACGTACCGGACACGATTACTTGGCAAAACACCTTCACAGATTGGGAGTATACACTCAACCCACATGCCCCCTATGTAACTAACAGGAAAAAATGGAGATGACCCACCTGATTCGATGTCCAGCCCTAAAGACAACGACGGAAAGCCATAGATACTGGAAAGCAAGAAGACAGCTAATGAATTGCTATTAATTAACTGCTATAAATGTACCCTCTACCCTTGGGGGAAGCTGAAGTCAAAGTTTAAGGGCTAATGGTAAATATCATAAAGCCTGCCATTTCAAATAAATAAATATATCTTCACAAACCTTGAGTACATGCACTTAAACCATAAAGAGGAATCTATCCCAAACCACCCCCCTTCCCACCTTAACATTTAGTAAGCTTCTTTTCTCCATTTCATAAATGCAGAATTCCAGATTTGTTCCTGTTTGCCTTCTTCTTCTTCTCCTCAGATCTTGTCTATGTTCTTTTGAAAATTTAGTAAACATAATTAATCCATTCGTCCTCCCAGTCTTCAATTATGAGCGTTCAACTAAGTTTAAGAACTCAGCTATATAAACGTCCAGGTCATCCAGGTCTCTTAAAATTCTTAGTTTTAACATTTTAACATTTTCAAGTATTAGGTGCAGTGAATTATTGCAAAGATTCATCCCAAACGAAGTTCAAAGCCAGTACCCTTTCACGAACCTTCCTAAAGTAAGTGTAAAGCAATTTACCTTGACTTCAGAAGGCGAATCAGCTTTTGCTGCAGTGCCACAGCACTTATCCAAAGCAACCACATTAAATTGTCTCCATACTACCATCGGGACAAGTACCATTTTAAAGACATGCATCTCAAGTAGCAGTAGGAACAGTCTTGTAACAGACGGCCAATTCTGAAATTCAACTTTATCCTTTCTACTGAGTAAGCTCAACCCAGTCGAAGTACAATATAGCACCTTTAGCAGGGACCCGCTTGTTATTTACATTTTCCCGAAGAATAGCAATTCTCCATTTTCACAAATTCTAATTTACAATCTTCCAGCACCCACAGACCAGGATTCCCTTAGCCTTCGCCATTGTAACTTTATACTACAATTCAACCACGGTATCAGGCATATTAAGCAACGTTTTTTGATGAAGCGATTTTCATATAGAACTTTTTCAAATTGCAGTATGATCTCTCGACCTGCAGAACCTGGCTATCCAGCATAATTCATATCTGCAGTTAAATGAAATCATATCCTGCCCTTTGTTGCCTGTAGAATGCCTAACTCTACTGGATCCTGGCCCCGGATACATTGAGGCGTTTCAAACGTCAAACCGAAACCTTTCGTTCTGCATGCATACCACCAGATGGTTTTTTTATTTCCATGATTGTCACATTCAAGTAATGGTTTAACAACAAAGGTGAACACCATTCGTTTCGTGTGAAATAGCATTCGACAGTCTTGCAACAGAAGATCAATGCTGAAATTTAAACTTTATCTTCTCTACCGAAGAAGTTCACTCCCCACGAAACACAATATAGCACCTTTGGTAAGGATCGGAATTCTATTTAGTCTGCTGTCAAACAAATCCGACATATTTTGAAGGATCCAAATTTACCCTTTTTACTAATCATAAGCCCTTTATGTACTCTTTTCGAGCACCCACAGACCATCGTTCTCTTTGGCAAATTCGGCATTTGGACTTTTCAAAAAATTCAACGACGAAATTAAACATTTTATCAGCATGAGCAACGTTATCAGTGATGCAATTTCCTTATGGAACTTGATCTGCAGAACCTGGCCACCGAACAAAAGTCAGATCCAGAATTAACGGAAATCATGGCCTACCCAACTTTACGATTAAAATTCTTACCTCTGCAGGATCCTGACGTGTGAATCCATTGTGACGTCTCAACCACCATTTAAGACCACTTGTCCCGTATAAACATCGCAAGAGGATTTTCGAAAATTTCCATGGATTGTCTCATACAAGCCTTTCTTTAATTGCCAATCTGAAAACCGACCATTTCATATGAAAAGAATTTAAACACGACGTACATCTATGGGCTCACTATTGACCCGTTTGAGAAGCCAGCAATTAAGTAACTTTAAATCAGTCCAGTATTCACGAAATATGTCAGATGACTCCTTCAACCACAGTTAATCATTATTGCAATATGAAAAGTCTATCTACCTGACTGCGTACTAAAGAAGAAAGGAGATAAAAGAAAGAAGAGGGAAATAGACCAACGGCATTAATTAATAGATTGACGAATTTATCCACTTTGATTAAATTGATATATACCATCACGTTCTATGCTGTAAAGTTGAGAAAAAGGTCAAAAATTTATTTCCACTTAAAACCAAATTGGTTCATTTATGTGTGCTTACTGGTATCTAGCAAAGAGTGAATTAGAATTTTATTGAATGTTCTCCAGGAGATGAATCAAATCATCTTATTGATGTTCTCAAGTCATTTTGATAAGATCCACAATACGACCTTATTGCGTTAACTACGCAATGTCCCACTATTGAAGGTTAACTTCACAAGAAATCGATTCATTTGAATAATTAACCTATATTAAATCTACGGAAAAACAAATTTACGTTATCACGCATAAAAACAATTCAACCAGTAAAATTGTAATAAATAACAATGAGTAATGAAAGCATTAACACTCATGAACTACTTTTAATTGTTTTAATAACGTTAGAGGGTGGATATTATTGGCGCATGATGGTGCTGGAGTATATTAAGCGGAAGATGATGGGATGAAAATATAAAAGACACCAAAAGATGAATCGTCTTGTCGGTTTGATCTTTCTCTCCTTTGTCGCTTCCATTCTCATCTTTCTGGCTGTTGGATACAGAGGTTGGAGCTGCAACGATGCCATTCTGGGTCCACTCTGCTACTCAGATAATGTTTACTACACTATTGGAATTCTTCTTATCTGCGTAGGCCTTCTGGCTTTCTTCATGGCCATTCTATTTATCCACTACTTAGTGGAAGGATTTAATTGGTCGATTTACGTCGCAATGTTTTGCAGTTCGGTAGCTGTTATTTTGGGCTTGGCCGCTGTAGTGTATTTCATCTACAATAAGGACTATGCTTGCCCATACATAGCTGCACTTGGAGTTGGTATGGCTGCTGGTCTTTTCACCTTGCTATCCTTCGAAAATAGTGAATAGAGACCCAAAATCTGACAGCCATAAACAGACTTCCAATTATTTTATGATAATGCAGAAACCTGTAATAAATTCTTTTCTTATTGCCAAATATGGATCGAATATTCATATCTTCATACAACTTAATTGCTTAAATTACAATTTTATGTTTCATGTCATATCTTATGCGTACATTGCAGCATTAGTTTATAAGCGTATAAAATCCATAAATGTATTCATGTATGAAAATGCTAAAGTATGTATGCAAAAGACGTTAACGTAGGATTAACAACGACATATTTAAAGTCTCACTAAATACTCTAATTAGTACGCATTTGATTAAAAATACCTCGTTCAGACTGATATCGGTATCTTCTTATATTTACTTATTCGAAGACAAGGTCGATTCAGCTAAATTTTTTGTCTATTTTATAAAAAGGATTAGTTTAATAAATTTTCACTGAGAATTTTTAGTATACAATTGGGATTTTTATTCAGAATCAAGATTCATAACTAGCCTTAGTTACGTTCTTCTCTTCTTTACTTTCAAAAGCATTTTTTTCATTTCATGCTAGCTATGAGCTTTGATGCATTTGGCTCAAATTAAGTTAATTTCCAATATTTACCAAGTTCTTTCAACGAGCTCTTTTAATGCAGAACAAACTATGGCTTATTTAGGTACTATTGTTGATAATTTTCATTTAAACGCACAATTAGTCAAATCTGATCAATTTTCCAACTTTACGTAATTATCAGTGAAGGAGGTTTTGATAAAATTTATTGTGAATATGAAATGTAAGGAGACGATAAATTAGTTATAAAAAAATTTCCGTTTCTTCGTTGAATATTTGTCTTTGGCATCTTGGAATCCTTTAACTGCGATAATCGAATAAAAGTATCACAAAGAGACCAAGTGCAACCCCTGCACCGAATGCAGCCAAGATAGGACACAAGGGAGGCATAAAAGAGGCGTAATAAAATGTTGCCGCCACTGCTAGAAGAGCCGTTATTGCTGCTGCTATAAGTGCCGCAATGAGCATTCGAGATGAACCCTGAAGGATCACCAGAAGTAGGAAAATGGCGACGAGTAGGGCCGCAACAGTCGCAGCTGCTAACAAAAATCCTGTGACCTTATATGAGTGGCGTTGTATGCATTTTGTTTCAAGAATATATCCCTGACATGGCCATTTTGGAACTCCAAGAGAAAGTACGAGCAGAAGGAGTACAAGGCATGCGAGAAGAGCATAACCGACGTTCTTATTCATGATGTATGTCAATAGAGGGGAGAACGCAAAGCTTTCAATGTCTTCTGCTTAAATGCTGCCCCTTTTCCTAATTTTTACTACATTTGATCATTTTATCACAATACCCAATCAGCGTAAAAAGAATAAAGTAATTTTATCCAATCAAGGGTCTTCTAGAATAATTTAATTATACTACCTATGGAAACTGGCAGATCACGAAAATTGACGTAATCAAGATTTGTTTTAATTCTCATTTTTAATATCATAGTAATTTATATCATTAATCATTTATTTTTATTGATCAAATAACTTGAAGACTGACAGATTTTGAGATGTCTTAATCAATAGAGCGAGCCATTTAATGTTCGCTAAACTGCTAGATCGGAACCTTGCCAAGCAATGATTGAAATGGTTGTGTACTGTTTCCAGTTTACAGATTTAGCATCGATTTCATAATATGATAACATTGAAGATTTGTGTTATTTAGATTAATTGGTCCGATTCCCTCACCAATTTCGAATACATTTTTAAACAAACACTTTCTTTTGAATTCATTAAATGCCACTTGTATGATAGGGCCTAGCTAGTGAGCAAGTTTTAGCTTACAAATCAGATGGAGAAAAAAAGGCATTGGGGTAAAAAAATGGAATTTTCCTTAAATTTTGTCGAGTTAGTAAGTATATGTCTTTAATAAAATCGTAGCTTAACTCTTATTCTTTCATTTTCCTTTGATGTCAACAAACTGATTTTAAAATGTAAAGAATCGGTCATATAGATTTTTTTCAAATTTCTCGCTGACACTTATAACAAGTGTAAAATTTCCCAAATACCAGCTTAGATTTCTCATTTCACTTACATAGATGAGCGTGTTGGTGAGGGGGGTAGAAATGGCACAGAGCTATTAGCATTTTTAGATAAAGTAAATTCCTGCAGGAAATCAATGACTTGAACTAACATTGATTAACACTGAGCACCACAATGCACACAAATTACTTTTAATTCCAATTCAAATATTATAATCCTTTAATTCATGAACCGCCGTATTGGATACACTTTAATCGCCTTCCTTGCAGCCTTTCTGTTAAATTTTGCTGTTGGCTTCTACGGTGGTATTGCGAATCGAGTCTCCTTAGTTCTACTTGTGGTCAAACGCAGGCCAATGTGATCACTGCTGTTCTCTTGTTGGTTGCAGCTCTGTGTATTCTACTTGTGGGTAGTTTCCTCATCCATCTGATAAAAGAAGGACCCAATTGGGCTTTTTTGACCGCTCTCATCTTGTCCGCCTTTGGAGCCATTCTAGCCATTGCTGGTGTGTGCTATTACACTGGAAATTTTGGGCAATGAAGTCCGATTCTTGCCTCCATTGGTGCTGAAATTTTAATCTGTCTATTTATTGCAATGGCTTTTGAAATGGCAGGCGAGTAATTTATACTAAAACACCCTTAAAACTATAAATTGTTCAGTATTTAAGAACACGTCTTACCTTTAAATACATTATTTCTTATAAGGGTAAAAATTTATTACTGTTTCCGGATTTCACTTTTCAGTGCCGTTTGCTAATTGCAAGCGTACATAAATGTTCTCTTGCCAATACTGGTTAATCGGCTAAATTACTAATTGAATGTATTTTAAATCGAAACTTTCAGTTTTCTAACCACACGTATAAGATGATGTTTTACCGCATAGACTAAAACCAGAATTAACTGTGCGTGCCATTTCGTAATGCTATTTGTTGGAAACATATTGCCACGGTATATGAACTATTTCGATTATTGTTTAAAATAATCTATTTTTAATTTGGTCATAAAAATTGCGTCATTTTGTTGTAGCCTGTGAAATGCAGAAAACATAGACAGAAAGAAGAAGGTGGAATCACAGAGCCACTTAGTCATTCATGTCAGCCTATTGGATGTGGACTATTTCGACCCTTGCCAAAATCCTTATCTCCTTTTAAGACGGCCTTGAGGAAATTGTCAACTTGGACCAAATATTCAAACCCTATTTCCATTGAAAATATTTTGGTTTAGCTTTGCTGGAACAATATCAGGTCCATACGAGGTGAGATTTCGAGACATTTCATTATATCACACTTAATGACCTTTTGGGATGTGAAGAACTTTGCAAATTTATTATATATGAGTTTCCTTATGAGTGTTCACTAGTGCCAGGCAAATGTAGAATAGAATTTTTGGTTGAACTCACACCATAAGAGGAATCAACTCATCTGATCGTTGGTCTTACTTCATTTCAATAGGATTACCATGACGAACTTATTATCACAACTGCATATCGTCCCAATATTGGATAAAAACTTCAAGAGAAATCAATTTATTTTTGTCGGCAATTGTAATTGAATTATTAATTCATTTTTAATTTTCTAAAATAAACAAAATTTAACCTTAGGTATAAAAAACAATTGAAAGGGGGAAATTCAATTAATTTACAAAGAATCATGGGAACATTGATACTCATAAATTATTTGTAATTGCTTAAATAAAATTCGAAGATTGGTATTATTGACGATTGTTTACACCGTGGTAATTTAAATGATGAATAATTACTTGTTTTTATACGATTTAAGAAAACTGCAATAACTTCTTTCCTTCTTAATTAACGGGTGACGTATATTTTCATATTTATTTAAGTAAATTTATCTAACTGTAATTTGTGCAAATGGATTGCTTGCCACTGAAGTATTCAGCAAACGGAATCCCATCTCGTCGTCAAATAAAGCGCTTTTGAAATTCTTTTGCAAAAGTTGAGCTTTCTTTAATTCACAGTCTTAATTTTGTCTTAGGTAAAAGCACCTGAAGGCGAAATAGGAATGCTCAACCTTGTTAACCCTGAACCAATCAATGAAGTGCACAATTCTTGAATAGGGGTATTCGAAATGTCAAATATGATTTTATATAAACATCCATATTATACGCTTTCACTATAAGCTCATAACTTGACAGTTCATATTTGTTTGAATAAATTCTAATCTCTTTATTCAGAGACCAAGTCATTTGTTTAGATATCTATTGTCGCAATAAAGTAATGAAATTAACAAGGACAAAGTCAGCTCAAATGTTACGAATTACAGAACCTCACCTGTGTACTCCATTGAATATGTTAAATTCGTATGCAGTAGTTATTACAATTTAAGCAGCGACTAGTTACGTTCTCACCAATCGCTATATGTGATATCTCAAAATGCATCCTGGTAAATTCCATAGAAATAGAAAATACAACATACCGATCGATACCATATTTACTTAGCAACTTAGGACAAATGCAAGATCGGTTCAGCCAAATATTTCCTTTACTTCACCATGATTTACTAATATTCAATTGAGTTTCAGATTCGAAAACCAGAACCATGACGAACTCCAATTACGCCCATCTTTCCTTGACCACGAAAATTTTTCCAAGTTCTTGAGTGAAAATTGCAAAAGGCATGGACTCTGGTGCATTTTTTGGTCTGATTGAGCTATGAAAACACATTCGCCAAGTGCTTTCAAGGCACTAAGAATACTAATTAAAGCAATTATTTTGCCAGTTATGATTCATTAGAAATGCATTTCAAGATAACGTAGTATGACATTTTCATCATGAAATATGAAAGATCTATAAGCAGATTTTCCTTTCATTAAATATTTAAAAAAGCTCATTTCGTGAAATATGCAAATGGGCAAGCGGTAATATTAAATTCAGAAAGATTTTAAAATTATGCTAATCTGAATAAAAATGTTAAATAATTACAATTTATACGAGTCGTTAGTCGAAAACGCCCATTTGGTGAGAAGATCTTTCTGAAAGATCCTAAAATTGAAAAAAGAAGGGAATTGCTTAAGTAAAAATCTTCAAACATATCATCAGTGAAACAATTCTATTTCCTGATTTTATTTAATGACCAATAAAGGAATTATTGGCAAAAAATATATTGTAAATATGAAAATGGAAAAATGGGAAGAGGAATTTTAATAAATCAATAACATCAAAAGAATAATAGCAGTTTCACCGTTGCTCAATCCCCGTTTTTTGCATCGTTGGGAGCTTAATTGAGGTAATCAAGTAGAAGTGCCGCAAAGAGACAAAGTGCTATCCCTGCACCGAATGCCGTCACAATTGGACACCAAAAATGAGTGGGTTGGACGTAATAAAATACTGCAGCCATGGCTAGAAGAGCAGTTATTCCTGCCGTCACAAGTGCCGCAATCTTCATTCGAGATGAACCTTGGAGGAACACCAAAAGTAAGAAAATGGCGACAAGTAGGGCGGCTACAGTCGCGGCTGCCAACAGAAATCCCACAACCTTTAGCACATAGAAACGAATACATTCTGTTCCAAGTATATGTCCTTGACAGGACCAACTCGGAATACCAAGAGAAAGTATGAGCATAAGGAGAACAAGAGCTGCAAGAAGACCAAAACCGACTTTCTTATACATGATGTATGTCAACAGAGGGAAAAACGTAATATTTTATATATTTTCCCTTTAAATATTGCCCCTGTGCATAATTTTTACCACTTTTGCTTATTGAAACAGCATTACTCAATCTCCATAAAGAGTAATAAAATGGTTACAGCAAAGCATAGGCCTTCTAGAATGAGCTATTTGTCCCATTTATGAAAAACTGGCAGATCATAAATACTGGAGTAAGCAAAACGTTTGAATATATATATATATATTTTTTATGTCGAATTAATTGCGATCGCTAACCACTTCCATAATACAGATTTATTTGGGGGATAAATAATTTTATTATAAAAAAAGTTAAATTCAAATAGACAAGCTCTTATTCTTGCACAACACTTGGGTTCATGAACATCTACCTTTAATTAGGACTTACCCCCATTACCCACCATAACATTTGGCGCGCTCTTTTCCTATACCTCGGTTCGGGCTTGTTCCGGCTTGTCACCTCCTTCTCAGGTTCTATTGAAACTACCAAAAATTACCTTACTCGATTCACCCTCCAAGTCTTAAATTATGAACGCTCAGTTAGGTTCACTACTTTTGCATTAAGAACGTTCTAGCTAGCACAAGGTCACTGCTAACCTAAGCCCCCCCCCCTCATAATCCCCTATTTTTCCACAGTTCCTATTCACGAGCCTTTCACTGATAAAGATTCCTAGATTACTAATATAAATGCTTACTTCACTGCAAAATAGCATTTTTTTGGGTATTCTTTTTGATTTCACTCTTCTGTTGTCAGTTACATTCCATGCATCTATTCAAATGTAAAACCAGTTACATTCAAATCATTAAGAGATGGACAAAGTTTGAGTTGGTATAATCAATAGAAAAAACTGATTTAACTTCTACTGCCTCAATTGGAAGCTTGATAAATTGTTAGTAGAATTAAAACTTTAAGATAGCAAATAACTATAACGTAAATATTGGCTTTTCTTATTCTCCAACTAACTCAGTTGCCATTAAAAGATTTAAATGTTCGTTTACTGTTTCTATTTGATAGATATAGAAACAATTCCATAATAAGAGTAAATTGAGGAGGTGTGATATTTAGAGCTATTGGTTCGAACCAGATCATAAGGTCGAATTCATTGTGATCTGCACACCTTCTTTCCAATCCATTTAATTTCCCTTGATGATATGGGTTTTAGAACGGGGATAGATGGGAATCTTCCTTAAATAGCAAGCTAAATTATTTAAAATATTTTACCCATAGGATGCATTAGTCTCGTTAATATTCTTTGTTATCAGGTATTAGAACACGCTCCAAATATTGGCTTCCCATAAATGAAGATTTAAGTAAGATACACTCCCATTATTTGCGACTGTTTTTGTGGCTATAAAAAATTATTTCTAATTCAAAGTAATTTCACGAAGTCAATCCGGGTATTCTCGAGTAAGTTCTGAAATTAACAAAATGAAGCCGTATTATGAATCCAATGTACTGAGCATAGTCATCAAACCTAAAATTTCTTCTTACACAATTATGCTTGGAATGTGAGCGTTGAATCATCTAAGAGCTCTTGGTAGTTTACTATTCACTAAATACTCATTTAATTTAAAGTACGTTTCTTAACTTATTGTTTCAATGGTGATATCACGGTGATTGACCCCCTAATGACATAGTGAGCATAGTTTAAAACATAAGAATTTGAATTCCGGAAAGGTAAGTTCGATTCATAAAGCCTAACTATTCCTAAGCTGATTAAATCTCTTGGTTTCTAAAATAGTTCGTGTGATCGATATTCCGATCTTTTGATTGGTTTATGCAAAGCAATGTTTGACCACTAGACTTTAATTCGCCGATATCTTGTTAGAGTTATAAGCAGTTTGAAGTACATGTAATTAATTCAACTTAAATCTTAATACTGCAAATTATGATGGTTAAAATCCAAGTGGAAGTAATGAGTTTGGAATCTTGGGCCATGTATGTTCCCCCAAGGTTTCTTTTTCATAAAACCCTCTCCACCCCCCATATTTCGCATGAGCATTTAATTTCTAAAATAACTCACCCCCCCCCCCCCCCCCCCCCGCCCCCAATTTTCAGGCAACTGGTTCAAACTGTGCGCAAGAAATTGTGGCACCATAACCAATGCTAAAACTCCGAGCTGAAAATTAAATTTTAAATTACCACTTCCCCACCAAATAGATGTACAAAAACCAGATCAAGCATAAGAATAAAAGCTAGCTTTAAATTAACGGTCATGACAAAGTAAAGCGTAGACGGCAGCTGTAACTAATAAGATTGTAGTAATGACAACAATAATACACGTCATACTCCAGACACATGTAGATATTAAGATCAAGGGTCTTGTCAGTTGCATGCAAGGTGGAAGTAAAATACTTCCTCCACATCCATAGCCATCAATGGAAATTTCGACGAGAAGTACAAAAATCACATGTGGGCCTATCACAACGTTTGATATTTTGAGATTTTTGTGTCACATTTTGACAGACCGAGTTTTAACATCGAATGCTTATGAAATGGAATTGTATAACTAACGAAATTAGATTGGACACTTCAACAACACTTGAATGAATCTGTTTCTTAAGTAGTTTAAGCCAAATTGGCCCATTAAGAAATAGATTATCATTATAATTTTCATACAGCTTTAAACGTTTGTTTGTACAAAATTGGTAGAGTGTCTTTTGTTTTAGCTTTTAAAGAGTAAAGAGGAAATTTGTAAAAATAAATAAAGTTTTCTTTCAATTTAATATATTTTTTAATATTCATAATAGAGACCAGTTTTCCGAGAATATATATCGAATATTTCTCTTTTTACTAATAAAATTAAGGTAGAATAATTATCTGGGTTTCAAATTTTACTCATTTTGAGAGTTGAAGCGGAATGTTTAAGGTTTTTACTTACAGTATCAAAATTTTATGAAAAATTTTGTCAAATTACTGAATGTCATAGCTTAATCATCTTAATACATATTTAAACTGAATTCGCGACAGATAAAACATATCCTTTCGAATATTATACTAATAATTAAGTTTGGAAAAGCCCACTAACTTTTGACACTGAGCAATAGCAAATATTTGGGTGGCCCTAATATAATAAATAAATGTACCATGAACTCATTTCAATACCGAAATTTCAATCAATTAGGAGGCCTTTTAATCTCCAAAATCAACAATAGAAAGACTACCCGTATTAGAATATGGTCAATGTTGAGCTAAAAAGGTATTTGGAGTAAATGAGCATATATATTATCACACTTTGGATTTGATTCAACAGTAGTCTATTAATACCTAGCGAGCGTCCAGTTCGTATTAGCAAAGGCTAGGCATCCTGGTCATTCAGAAGGGGTCTCACTCAGGTCGTAAAACACATTTTTAATAAGGATAAATTATTTTATTAAATTAAGACGCGTATTGGGTTGTCGATTAAACGAATGCTCGTCGTATTTGGTGTCGATGGGCGATTATATCAGCACAAAGGTGAATTGTGAGAATGACAGTAAATGAAAATGCCACGGTTGCAAGAAAAGGTGACCACCATTCCTGTGTGTCGATATGGTGCAAGATCCCAGCTAATCCAAAGATGACAGATAAACCGGCGCTAATACATGACGCCAAATAAGCCCAAATTTCATCCATAATCAGCAGAAGGATCATAAAGCATGCAGAAAGGACTACAAATAATGTCGCAGTCAGAAGAAGAGCTCCGGTTGCCTCATTTGACCTTAAATAAATACAGGCATCACTCAAAATGCTTCCCCCACAGCCCCATCCATCAACTCCCATAGCAACACTGAAAATGAGGATTGATAGAAAGGCAATTAGTATATTTGTTATCATCGGATCCATGTCGAGCTTATAACTTCTAAAACTATTCACGCTTTTGTATGCAATACCGTCATGACTTTTAACAAAAAATCGATATTTGTCGGTGCGGTAAATTTAAATCAAAATTTGTGATGCTTGCAAAATTATAATTGCTTCCTTTCTAGAGCTAAGATATGGTGTTATGTTGGCAACTAGTTTTATGGAATTCATGCCACTGTTATCAGGATATGAGTTCGAGGTTAAAACTTAATTTATGATCCTAAACAGCACACTGAGCTAAGATATAATTAACATGAGTATTTTACTAGTTGAAGTCTAATCAATTTTTAGTATTCATGGAGCGAGTACTAGCTAAAAATTGTAAAGTAAAAAGTTAAAAGGTAGTGCATTATAATAGTCATTTGATGTTCAAAATTGGAAAGCAAACATTTTCAAAACAATCGTAAACAATCTTTACTGATTGGGAAACGAACAAATGGTCTTGAAAAAAGAACAAAAATACTACAAAACAGAGAATTTAAGAATCGAAATCTGGCAATTTGTTGTCAAATATCTTATTCATCCATTCTTTGAGTTGAGTAGCACTGGGATCACCTCTGGGACTGTAGTATAACGCAGGAACATCAAACTCGGCAGTGGTTTGAGTAGATTTGTCGACAGTATCCCATTGCTTATTAGATCCCACCGATCCCATCGATATATTCAAGGCAGTATTCTCATAAGCTACTTCCTGTTCCTCGGTTTGCCACATACACATTATTGGAGCCGGGGGTTTTACTGGTGGGCATTCAAGATTATCTTCATCACTACTCTCGTACTCACAGGCAATCTAGCAGAATAGAAAGTAATAATAAAGTACCACTTAAAAAAATAAACAAGAAAATTGCCGATCACATACATAGGGAGCAAGAAGCAAGCGTGAGGTTCGTCTCGACAAACTACACAATTATTTTGAGTTACCTTCAATAACTAAACTTACTCAAAAGTGTGATCAAGAGAAACTTTTTTAGGTGTTATTAACGTGGGGTCAATTGTTTCATTAATTCTGCTAACTTTGACGTCGGTAGACACTTTATTGTCTTCCAGAACATTAGTTTCGATCGATAATTCCTTGAAAGTGCTTGAAAGAGGTTCGGTAACCTCAGGGAGGGTGGACATTTTAAGAGGTGAAGTTGTCAACTCAGGTTTAACGGGTGAGTAGGAAAGATCAGAAATATTTTGTTCAAAAATTATATTTGGATTACTCGATCTGCAAAAACTAGCAGAATTATCAGTTATAGACTCAGAGCACATTGACTCCACAAATGTAGAAGGTGACTTATGTTCTAGAAAGAAACTAAAGTCGAAAAAAGGCAATTACGTATAGGACTTAGATAACTAGAAGGAAGGAAAGCTGAAAGCGATTCAATATTTTCAGTGTCTTTATCATTACAAATCGTTGAGTTTTTAATACAGGCGAATTGATCTGAGAGATTGAAAATAAATTTTAGCCAAGACAATACCGAATAGTAATTGCATTTGGGGGCTTCCAGGAGCATAACCTACGTAAAATCACATTTTTAAAAAACACAACGACTACTCTCGCATGCTTCGGCACCTCTTGGCTTTTCAGGTGATGGAATATAATTCGAGTTTTCAATATCACTTGAAGAGGATCTCAAACGAAAACCAGTGTGTTTGAAATCACCCATTAAGCCTAATGAATAAAGAAAAGAATTTTAATAATATAGAAAAAAGAAAAATTAAACAGGAAAATTAATGACAAATAAAAATTCTTTACGGATAATTTCCGTTAGACTGGAATATTATGGCAAGGAGCAAATTTAACAGTAAACTGTAAAAGCAAAATTATTCGCAAATAAAGTGGCAATACGATGAAAATTAACGGATTTTTTTCATTTTAAGTTTATTAAGAGTACCCTAACGATATAACCTAACAACGTTAATAGAAGCGCCAAATATGTTGAAATTAAAAGCAAGTTAAACGACTTCATTATTTTCTGTTTAGACAATTTTTAAGTGATAATAAAATTATATTTTCTTTTAATTAATTTTATTAAAATATCTGCTGTTTCAAAGGAGATTAATAATCTTTATATATTTGTAAGTTAATTTTGCTTGTGTTTTTTTCTGAGAATTTCAGGTAAATCTTTAAAGCATTTTCTGAATTCCTTTTAAAAAAATTCTGGTGATTATATTAACATTTGGTCTAGTCTATGGTCTAAAAACTCTATGATTTGTTCAGAACTTTCCCATATATATTATTTAGCCGATAGGATTTTCTAGTTTATATGGTTTATTTCGTCAATTTTAACAACTGACAACTATTGTACTTAAAACAAACATTTTAAAATATCTCATGAAATAACTTTTAGAATTTTATGAATGCATACGTAATCAGACTTCCATTATTTCCAACACTCTTAGCTATTAAAAGCAAATACTAAACCCACCTTATTTATAGATACTAAATAGATTAACAAATTAGTCGATTAAATCTGAGCTCATCTTGCATGCATTCTCATGTGAGTAATTTAAAAAAATACTTATACTTTCGAGCAAGAAGTTATGCGAATCAACTTCTAGAAAACATGAAATCTCTATTTTGCTTTCAAATTAACTTAGAATACACACCCCTAATTGAATTTCAGTTTTTTCATGGATAAATATACAAATTCGTTTCTTTAGAATTTTCTGTTCGAGTTTGAATACTTTTCCAACAGTTCTATGTATGCTTTCAATGTTGCCCAATTATAAAATAAAGTTTCAATATATCAAGTCACCTAATCTACATCAAGTATTGCTTCATAAATTTGGGTGTATTAGACCCAGTTTCAAATTATTTCGATGTTATTTAAATTCTATTATTGAACAATGAAACTGCCATGAATTCGTTCAAAAATATAGTAGATTTTTTTAAAAGTCTTACAGAATTATAACATAGCAAATTAAGTTAGATCTCTTATTCAAGCATACATTTGCTGTGATGCAGAAAATATTGTTAAAAAGCTTACAATTGAGGTGGAGTTCATTTTCTGCTGTTATGGGTATAATCAAGCAGAAACTCTTCCAGTAATTTAATACAATTTGTAATTTTATTATTTTCATGCTTTATATCGAGACTATGGATGATTGTTGTGAACGTATACGGTTCGCGGCAGTTCGGTTGTGTCCCTGAGTGCATATTTGTTTGCAATGCATTATTAGTGTTTTTGCGATGACCGAAGGCATGGTTATTATATACGCTTTCAATTATGATAATAGCGTAATGACCTTGGTTATTGATTGTTCGGGAGATCTCTGAACACGTGGCCTCATTTGCTGTCTAGGGCGACTGACATATTTGGACAGGCATGTACTTTTGGCCTTTGCCATGCAATGTGCTTCCAACAAGTCAAAAAATGAGATATAGTTAGAGTCTCTATTGAAATAATTATTTTATACCCTCAGTTGAAATGTTTTCATTTGTACAATGGGAAAAAGTCAAAATTCATTAAGCGATTACTGTCGATAGATAAACCTATTTATTTTTGTTATTAAAAATTTTTCATTTTGTTTTTTTTTGTTTAATTTTTTCTTCATAATTTCATCCCTGAGTAAAATAAATTATGCCAAATTTGCTGAACGTAGATGCTAGGTCGTCAAGCGCTGCTACTACAAATTAACGAGTACGATGTATATTGAGCTGTAATTACATTTTTAACACAAATCGAATATTTCTTTGGCCGGTTCGGGTTCTCTTTTGCGTAAAATCAGCTTGATAACAATCTTTTTATTTACAAACAGGAGAGATCTTATTCTGTCACACCGTACAACTTACTATGCTTTAGTTCTGTTGGTGGCTTAGCATTTATAGGTATAATACACAATGATTTAAATGACACCATGTTTTAATGCAAGGAATTTAACCACAACACTATAAAAAATATGTATTAACTGAAATAGTCTACACAATTAAGTCATTAGACACTTGGGAACAGTGTTAATGAAAGGGGATACATTTCTCCTCAAGAATCGATGATAAAGTATACCTACCACAATTCACACTGACTACCCTACCCATGGCTGGCTGGACCAACGAAACAGTAATTTGAATTATATCAGGCGGAGATAATAAACAAATTTGGCAAATAATTACATTGACGATTTATTATAGGTATGAGCTAATTAAGTAATTACCTTAGCACATTTTAAAGACAGGCCAAGGATAAGCATAATGAAGAATCATGGAAGGGTTGATCAAAGAGCAATAAGTGTTTGATTGACTGCTTCAATCTCTAAGGCATTAAGAGTCTAATTGATGAGTTTGATTTATGCGTAAATTGCCCATTGACCTACTATACGTCCGCGTTAGCCTGATTGCTGGCGAGTGCCTTTGTTAAATTAATACACTCCGATTGCTCTTAAAACGAGTGATTAGAAGCTCATAATGTTCTCGCCCCTCGTTGTGGTTAGTCCATGCTTCTTGGCACACATTGGTACTCGGTTTAATTCAAAACTTGCCCTTATATAACTTGTACTTTTTAAGAATAATGTTGCCATTTTTTCTATTTGTGATTACTCCTGTTATCAGTCATTAATGTTGTCTTCATACATTATAAACTAAGACGGTTTATCAGAGCCAAAAATAGCAAGCAATAAATTTTGGTCAATATAGCGTGATACAAGCATTTATTTTCATGGAAGCATTACAGTGAAATTGATTAAATGCTTTAAGTAATAAATACTTCAATATCTTCTTCGGCAGGTAGCATTAGTGTGGTGCCAAGAGCACCACACATATTGAAAATCGCGGTTATAATCACGACTATGCTCCACTCCCAATAATCGGGATAACCTATTCCAACCATTGCAGTAAACATTACCAAAAGTGACAATGGGCAGACAATCTTGCAATTCTATAAAAAACTAGTGAGGCAAATAATTTTCCATTACATTAGATATTATCTTGATACTATTCATTATATATCCATATGCGTTGGCAACGGGCGTACTCAAAGCCATCATTCCACCAACAGTATAGCACCATTCTAACCAGAGTTGTGGGTCATTAGAATCCGAAGAGGTGGAAAAAAAGACATTTTTTACTCCACGTATAATTAGGATCAAGCCAGCGACCTAGGAAAGTTGAATTTAATGTAAATGATATGTAATCCCTACCAGAAGATAATGATTTATAAGAACCAGATTTACATGGTAGCAGTGGTAAAGTAGCCTTTCGACTTTCTGTCTTTTGATCATAATTTGGAGAAAACAATTTTCTTAGGTGGAAATTTTAATAAATATTAATAATCAGTGATATGATATGCCGTTGAAATTGAAAATAAATGAGTATTCAACTGTGATAGTCAGAAAACGCAAAATCATTTTAAAATTGAAACACTATTTTGAACTCAAACTTAGTCCTATTAGAGATCATTTTAAGTAAATTCTAGTGAATTTTGTTATTACTAGACATGGAACCAATATTCCTAATGACATGCCTGCCCACTAGTCAATTAATAACGAATAAAATCGATAACCAGGGCATAAATGAATAAACTTGAAAGTTTGGGGGAAAAAATTTCAATTACAAGTGATAAGTAGACAAGTTTATCCAAATATTGGGTGGCAACTAAGTCATTGCCGTTTTTGTTGACAGATTCACTCTATACTTTCTTTTGTTTTGTTAACGTAGCCAGAGCATCTAACCTATATTTTTTCTTACTGTATGGGCTTCTAGGTTAATTAGTAAACAATTTTTTTGTTTAGTTCTTTAGTTTTGTTTTTATCCCAATTTAAAAATGAAAGAACAGGACGTGCACTTCCGACACATTTTATTGTATTACTTCCGAAAAGGTAAGAACGCATCGCAAGCACAAAAGAAGTTATGTGCCGTATACGGAGATGAAGCCTTAAAAGAAAGGCAGTGTCGAAATCGGTTTGAAAGATTTCGTTCCGGTGATTTTTCACAGACAAATTCACAACGATCTGGCCGCCCAGTCGAAGTGGATGAAATCCATATCAAGGCCATTATCGATTCAAATCGTCACAGCACAACACGAGATATTGCAGAGAAGCCCAATGTGTCGCATACATGCATTGAAAAAAAATGAAAAACCCTTGGTTATGTCAAGAAACTTGATTTATGGATCCCTCACCAGTTAAAGGAAATTCATTTGACGCAACGGATTAGCATCTGTGATTCGCCGCTACTGAAACGCAATGGGAATGATCCATTTCTGAAGAACCTAGTCACTGGCGATGAAAAGTGGATAGTTTATAACAATGTTACTCGGAAGAGATCATGGGTGAAGCAAGATCAACCAGCCCAAACAGTATGAAAAGCAGAGATTCACCAAAAAAGATTACGCTGTCAGTCTGGTGGGGGGATCACAAAGGAATTTTGTATTTTGAACTCATGCCGCAGAACCAAACGATAAATTCAAATGTGTATGTTGAACAACTGGAAAAACTGATGGATGCAATTGAAGATAAGCGGCCGGTATTATCAAATCGGGAGTGTGTTGTTTTCCATCATGATAACGCAAGGCCCCACACATCTTTGGTTACTCGGCAAAAATGATTGGAACTGGGTTGGGATGTTTTGTCACACCCACCATATAGCCCTGACCTTGCGCCTTCGGATTACCATTTGTTTCGTTCCATGCAAAACTCTTTAAATGGTAAAATTTTTAACAACGCGGATGAT